AGGGATTGGACTGGACTGTGGGACATAAAGTGATACTCGTGAGGAGTGTGCCTCTTAACTCAAGTAGATACAAGAGACTAAACAGGCATCTTCTATCCGGAGGTGAGATAGGAAGGTAGAGAGGGTTAGGAGCTGGTTGAATGGAAATGGGGAATCAGGGGTGGAAAGGAAGAGTGTGCTGTCACAGTATGGGGAGAGCAATTAGAGTCACGTAACAATGCATGTATAAATTTTTGTATGGGAAACATTTTTTAAAAACAGTGGGATGAAAGGAGAGGAAGAGAAGGGATAAAAGAGGGAGGGAAAAAGAGACAGTGGGAGAGAGGAGAAGAGGGGGGAGAGTGGGAGATGGAGAGAGCAAGGGAGGACTAAAGAGGGAAGAGAAAGAAGGAGGAAGGGAGAGAACAGAAAGTGAGGGGGAGTTGGTAGATGAGGAGGAGAGTGTGTGAGAGAAGGGAACAGTGAAGGAGAGGTAGGGAGATAGAGATAGAGAAATGAAGGTAGAGATGAAGATAGAGAGGGATGAGAGAGAGGAATAGGAAAGAAGAGGGGTAGAGGGAAAAAGGGGAGACGGAGGGGAGAAGGACAGAGCAGGGGAAAGGGGAAGAAGAGAGGAAGGCGATGGAGATAGAGAGAGGGGGACTAGAGAAGGGAAGGAGAGAGGGAGAGAGAGGAAGAGAGGAAGGGAAAAAGGGAGGGTAGGAGAGGAAGGGTAAGATACAGTGAGAGAAAAGGGAAGAGAGTGGGAAAGAAAAAGAGATGGAGAGAAAGAAGGGCAGAGTGGGTGACTAAGGGGGTACAGAAAGGGGGAGACAGAGCGAGAGAGATCAAGGGAAGAGAGGGTGGGAGATGGAGATTAAGAAATGGAGGGAGGAAAAGAGAGGGAGAAGGAGGGAGAAGTGAGAGATGTAGAAAGAAATGCAAAGAGAGAGAGGGGAGAGAAAGGAAGACATGCAGGAAGGGGGAAAAAGATAACAGTGGAGATAGGGTCCTAGAGTGGGAAAGAGGGTGAAAAAGAGAGATTGAAACGGGAAGAGAGAGGGGGACAAAGACGGGGAGACAGAGAAGGAGAGGTGGAAAAATGGTGGGATAGTAAGGGGTAGAGGATGATGAGGAGAAGGGAGGAGGAGAGCGAGGAAGAGATGGGGCTAGAAAAAAAGAGAAGAAAGAGAGAAGGAGGGAAAGAAGGAGAGAGGGGAAAGGAAAAACAGAGGGACCTATAGGGGAAGAGAATGGGGGAGACAGAAGGAGAAAAAGAGGGACTGAAAGAGGGACAGGGGGACAAACAGGAGGGGATAGAGGGGGAGTGAGTGGGGAGAGATGAAGAGAGAAGGAGTAGATGAGAGGGAAAAGGAAGAAAAGTGAGGAAGGGAGAGGGGGAGGCAGGAGCGGGAGAGAAAAGAGGAAAAAGGGGAAGAGTGGGGGTTGGCTGTAGGAAAGAGTGGGAGGTGAGGGGGGAAGACAGGGTGGGAAATGGAAACAGAGAGATGGGGGAGAAAGAGAGAAAGGGAGGGAGGGAAAGGAAAAGATCTAGGAAAAGAGAACAGAAGAGAGACAGAAGGAGAGGGAAGGGAGAAAGAGGGAGGGGTAGTGAGAACATGGGGAGAGAGCGAAGGCAGAAATGGGATAGAAAGTGGAAGAGAAAGAGGAAGAAGCTAGGGAGAGACAGAGGGAGATGGAATGAAAGAGGGGGAGTGGGGAAAGAGCCAGAGAAAGAAGGAGAAGAGGGGAGAGAGAGAGACAAAGAGAGGTGGACAGAGAGCGGGAGATAGAGGGGGAAACACAGAGAGGGAAATCATGGAGAAAGAGGGAGGGAGGGAGAGATGGGGCATGAGTGGGTTGAGGAGAGCAGGAGAGAAAGCAGGGAGAGAGAAAGAGAGGGGAGGTGGGAAAAGAGGGAGGGAGGTGAAGGGAGAGAGGAGGGGAGAGAGAAGGGAAAGAGGTGGAGAGAGAGATAAAGGAGGGAGGAGAAGAGAAAGAGAGAGAGTTAGGAGAAGAGAGAGGGGGAACAGAGAGGGAGAGATAGAGGAAGAGATATAAGGGGAAGAGAGCGGAGAGAGGGACAGTGTTTGAGAGTGGGAAAGAGCTGGGAGATGGAGTGTGATGGGAGAGAGATGGAGATAGAGACAGAAATAGAGATGGACAGAGGGAGGGATTATAGGAGGGAGGGGAAGGAAAAGATAAAGGCAGAGATGTTAGAGAGAGAGGGAGACAGAGATGGAGGTAGGGGAGAAGAGGAGGCAAAAGAAAGAGAGGGGAGGTGGGAATAGGAGATTGAGAGAGACAGGGAGAGGGAAAAGAGCTAAGAAGAGGTGGAGAGAGAAGTCAGGAAAGAGATGATAGACAGGGGGAGAGCAAGAGGGAGAGGAGGAGACAGAGAGTGAGAGATCAGGGTGAGAGGGAGAGAAAGTGGGAAAGAATGAGAGATAGGGAAAGAGAGAGTAAGGGGGGAGAAAAAAGGGAAGGAGGGGAGGAGGGGGGAAGAACAGAGGGACGGGATGAGGAGTGGGAGAAGAGGAGAGCGGGTGGGAGCAAGGGAGATAGGAGGGTGAGAGGGAGGAGATGGAGATAGAGCTAGAGGGAGGGAGACATGGACATACAGGGATGAAGATAGAGGGAAAGAGAGGGAGAGTGAGATGGGAGAGAGAGACAGAAAGAGATGGAGAGGAAAAAGAAGGAGGGTTGGAGGCAGGGAGGAAAAGGAGGGGTAAGCAAGGGAGAGAGAAGGAGGGGTATCTAAAGCAAAGGGGAGAGGGGAGGAGAGCTGGGAGAGATGGAGCGAGAGAGATGGGGGAAGGAAAGAGAGAGGGAGGGGAGGGGAGAAAATAGGAAGAAGGGAAGGATAGAGCAAGGAGAAGCAGAAGAGAGGGAAGGAGATGGAGATAGAGGGAAGAGAAGAGGGGGACAAGAGAAGGGAGGGAGAGAGTGAGATGGGAGAGAGATGGAGAGAAGGTGGGAGGGGAAGGGAAAGATATAGGAAAAGAAAGGGGAAAAGAGAGTGGGAGAGGGGGGAGAGAAAGAAGGACAGAGAAGAGGACTAACGGGGTAGAAAAGGGGAGACAGAGGGCAAGAGATCTTGGAAAAAGAGAGGGAGAGAGGATGGGAGATGGCGATAGAGATATATGTATGGGGAGGAGAGAAATGGAGAGGGGAAGAGAGAGGGGAGAGATATAGAAAGAAATGGAGAGAGAGGAAAGGAAGAAAGGAACAAGGGAATGAGGGGAAAGGAAAGACAGAGGAGGGGAAGAGAGTGGGGGGGGAGAAAAGAGGGATTTAAAGGAGAACAGAGAGGGGGACAAAGAAAGGGACAAAGACGGAAACAAAGAGGAGGAGTCAGAGTGGGGAGGAGAGGGGAGAGAAGAGAGAGGGAGGGGGAGGAGACAGAGGGAGAGAAACGGTGAGAGAGAAGGGGTGGGAAGGAGAGGGCAAGAAGGAGGAAGAATGGGAGGGAGAGAGGGAGGGAGGAGGAGAGAAGAGAGGGAAAGATAAAAGGGACTATAGGAGAGAGGAAGAAAAAAGGGATCGAAAGGGGTACAGAGATGGGAACGAATAGAGGGAAACGGGGAGGGAGGGAGAGTGAATGAGAAAGAAGAGGAGAGAGAGAGGAAGGGGAGAGAGACAGAGGAGGGGGAGGGAATGAGAGAGTGAGGGGTTGGGTGTGAGAGAGAAGGAAAAGGTGAGGGGGTAAGAGAGGGAAGGAGGCAGAGAGAGAGAGAGATGAAGATAGAGAGGGAGAGTAGTAGAGAGAGGGAAGTGAGAGATAGGAAAGCTGGAGAGAGTGAAAGGGAAAGACAGGGAGAGTTAAGATGAGAGAATAAGAGAGGGAATAGACAGAGAGAGGAACAGAGGGAGAGGGATCCCTGGGAGAGAGGGAAGACAACAGCGTATGTGAGTGTGGAGGGGGAGAGAGAGAAATGACAGAGATGGGAACAGAGATGGAGACAGAGGAGGGAGATCGGGGGAGAGAGATGTATAGAGGGGGAGAGGTAGAAAGAGTGGAAGAGAGGAGGAGAGAGGGAGAGAGAGGAAGAGAAGAGATTAGGGAGAGAGTGAGATGGGAGAGGGAGAGAGGAAGGGAGGGACAGAGGAAGGAAATGGAAAGAAATAGGGAGAAATAAGGGAAGAGAGAGGGAAGGGAGTAAGATCCACAGAGAGAGTGGAGAGGCAGGAATGGGATACACTGGGGAAGACAGAGGGGAGAATGTGGCAGAGAGAGGCCTGAGAGGGCTGGAGAGAGATATGGGGTGTAGGAATAGGCTGAAGAGAGGAGAAGAATAGGGAGAGGGAGAGAAAGAAGGGGGAAAGATGGAGGGTGAGGGTGAAAGAGGTGGAGAGATCTGGACAAAGAGAAATGGAAAGGGGAAGGGATAGGGAGCACGCTGTAGCTGGAGCAAGAGCATAGCACAGAAAGATGGGGCCAGAAGGAGGGAGAGGTATAGAAATAGAGGTAGAGGGAGAATGAGAGGAAGACGGAGGGAATGGGAGAGAGGGGGCATCACACAAACAAAACAAAACCCCACAGTTCTAAGGCTCTTTGAATTCATTAGTAAAAGTTGCTACCTCTCTGCTCCCTACCCCTAAGATTCATTCAATTTGCTGATCTTAAGGAAAAAATCAGAGTCAAACATAGTTAGCACCTAAGAAATAGGAAAAAATCACTTTTAGAAGGACCCATTTAAATAGCTGCATCTTCAGAGATGAAATAAATGGAAGAAACTTGCTGATGCCAGGAAACCAAGATACAGCACCATAACCACCCAACACTGGCTTCTCTGCCTGGGGAAGACAGACATAAGATTTGGTAGGAAAAATCTGGTGTGTGCGTGTGTGTGTGTGTGTGTGAGAGAGAGAGAGAGATTGTATATACACACATTTATACGTACACACACGCATATATACACAAATACATACAAACATACGTATATATATATATGTATATATTTACTGACTTGGATAGAAATCTGATTAGTTCTCTCTAAGCCTGATGGACTCAGACTCACCTCAAATTTTGCTGCAATCAGAAAGGCAGTGGAACCAAGGAGTTGTAGCTTGTTCCTCTTGCATACTACTTCCATTAGGTAGTGATCCACAAGCTTCACTGCCAAGTACAGCGTCTCATGACTCATCTCAAAGGTCATCTGGAGGAATATACAAAATAAGGCAAGAATCTAGATATTGCCCAGCACCAGAGCCACATCCAGATATATTTAGCTACCTGGAATTTCCATAGCATCAAGGACAGTGGAGCTCCCAGACCTAGCCATCTAGGACTCTGTTACAAATGCAGGAAACAGCTTCAGCTAGGTGCCTGGTTATATCTTCTGTGCCTCTGAGGAGCCTGGCATTAACTATCCCTACACATTATTGCTCATATGCAAGTTCAATTGAAGCTGAAAATTAAAACAAGTCCACAAGAGCCAAAATATGACCCTGAGTATATCCCACCTAAATTTAAAGACCATATCAAGAACAGATTTGATGCCTTGAACACTGTCATGGATTGAATTGTGTCCCCCAAAAATATGTGTATCAATTTGACTAGGCCATGATTCCCAGTACTGTGATTGTCCACCATTCTGTCATCTGATGTGATTTTCCTATGTGTTGTAAATCCTATCTCTATGATGTTAGTGAGATTGGATTAGTGGCAGTTATGTAGACTCAATCTACAAAATTAATCTACAATTTAAGCCAATCTCTTTTGAGATATAAGAGAGAGAAATGAGCAGAGAGACAGGGGGACCCCATACCATCAAGAAAGCATTACCAGGAGCAGAGCACATCATTTGGACCCAAGCTTCCTGCACAGAGAAGCTCCTAGACCAAGGGAAGATTGATGACAAGGACCTTCCTCCAGAGCTGACACAGAGAGAAAGCCTTTCCCTGGAGCTTTCACCCTGAATTCAGACTTCTAGCCTACTAGACTGTGAGAGAATAAACATCTCTTTGTTAAAGCCATCCACTTGTAGTAGTTCTGTTATAGCAGCACTAGATAACTAAGACAAACACTAATGGCTGAAGGCCAGATGAGTTATGGAATGACATCAAGTACATCATACATGAAGAAAGCAAAAGGTCATCAAAAAGACAGAAAAGAAAAAAAGACCAAAATGGATATCAGAAGAGACTCTGAAACTTGTTCTTGAACACAGAGCAGCTAAAGTAAATGGAAGAAATGATGAAGCAAAAGAGCTGAACAGAAGACTTCAAAGGGCATCTTGAGAAGACAAAGTAAACTATTATAATGAAATGTGCAAAGACCTGGAGGTAGAAAACGAAAAGGGAAGAGCACACTCAACATTTCTCAAGCAGCAAGAACTGAAGAAAAAATTCAAGCCTCAAGTTGTAATATGAAAGGATTCTGGGGGCAAAACGTTGAACAATGCAGGAAGCATCAAAGAAGATGGAAGGAATACAGAGTCACTGTACCAAAAAGATTTGGTCAACATTAAATACCATTTCAGGAGGTAGCATATGATCAAGAATCAATGGTATTGAAGGAAGAAGTCCAAGCTGCCCTGAAGGCATTGGTGAAAAACAGGCTCTAGGAACTGATGGAATACCACTTGAGATGTTTCAACAAACGGATGCAACGCTGGAAGCGCTCACTTGTCTATGCCAAGAAATTTGGAAGACAGTTACCTGGCCAGCTGACTGAAGAGATCCATATTTGTGCCCATTCCAAAGAAAAGTGATCCAACAGAATGCAGAAATTATCTAACAATATCATTAATACCACAGGCAAATAAAATTTTGCTGAAGATCATTCAAAAGTCGTTGCAGCAGTACATCAACAGAGAACTGCCAAAAATTCAAGCCAGATTCAGAAGAGGACATAGAACAAGGGATACCACTGCTGATGTCAGATGGATTTTGGATGAAAGCAGAGAATACCAGAAAGATATTTACCTGTGTTTTACTGACTATGCAAAGGCATTCGACTGTGTGGATCATAATAGATTATGAATAACACTGCGAAGAATGGAAATTCCAGAACACTTAATTGTGCTCATGAGGAAACTGCACCTAGATCAAGAGACAGTTGTCTGAACAGAACAAGGGGATACTGCATGGTTTAAAATCAGAAAAGGTGTGCATCAGGGTTGTATCCTTTCACCATACTTATTCAGTCTGTATGCTGAGCAAATAACCCGAGAAGCTGGACTATATGAAGAACAACGTGGCATCAGGATTGGAGAAAGACTCATTAACAACCTGCAATATGCAGATAACACAACCTTGCTTGCTGAAAGTAAAAAGGACTTGAAGCACTTACTGATGAAGATTAAACAGCACAGCCTTCAGTATGGATTACACATCAACATAAAGAAAACAAAAATCCTCACAACTGGACCAATAAGCAACATCATGAAAAACTGAGAAAAGGTTGAAGTTATCAAGGATTTCATTTTAGTTGAATTCACGATCAATGCTCATGGAAGCAGCAATCAGGAAATCAAATGACATACTGCTTTGGGCAAATCTGCTGCAAAAGACCTCTTTAAAGTGTTAAAAGCAAAGATGTCACCTTGAGGACTAAGGTGCGCCTGACCCAAGCCATGGCATTTTCAATCGCCTCATATGCATGTGAAAGCTGGACAGTTGAAGTAGAACTGATGCATCTGAATTATGGTGTTGGCAAAGAATATTGAATATACCATGGAGTGCCAGAAGAGCAAACAGGTCCATGTTGGAAGAAGTACAGCCAGAATGCTCCTTAGAAGCAAGGATGGCGAGACTACATCTCACATACTTTGGACATGTTATCAGGAAGGACCAGTCCCTGGAGAAAGACATCATGCCTGGTAAAGTAGAGGGTCAGTGAAAAAGAGGAAGACCCTCAACAAGATGGACTGACACAGTGGCTGCAACAATAGGCTCAAGCATAACAATGACTGTGACGATGGCGCAGGACCAGGTAGTGTTTCGTTCATAGAGCCGCTATGAGTCAGAACTGACTCAATGGCACCCAACAACAACAACAACTTCCCAACTAGATATGCTAGTAGAATACAGTCATCAGCAGCAAGTAATAATAGCACCCTTCGGAGACTTCCGGCAACATGGTGCTCTAGGCAGAAGCACCACACCGTCCCTTCACAGCAAAGATCTGAAAAACTAAGACAAACAGAGAAAACAGCAATACTGAAAAGCTCAAATGAAGAGATAAAGAACTCAGCCAAGCACCAAATGGAATAAGAAACTGACAGACAACAGAGAGCGAAGAGACATACATGGAGAGGTCCCCTATCAGCTAATGCAGCACGAACCCACCATCCTGGACTCCTATCAGAGACCAGCAAATAGGGGATTCAAGAAAGCAGCTTCACGGAGCTTCCAGCAGGAGATAGAACAACCGGTAAACAGCGATATACGCTTTCCCACCCTCCACCCTTCTTCACCTCCACTCGGCCTCCTCTACTTCCCGCAGCCACAGTCTCTTGGCCAGGAAGCACCGGCTGCTTGGATTCCACCCGCCAGCACAGTCTGACTCCCTGAGTGTCATTTGTTGGCTGCTGTGTTGCTTTTTTCCACTTCTTTTGATTTCTCCCTTACCTCTCACTACCTCTCCCTCCTTTGGCTCAAATACCTTTCTCCATACGCCATCTTTGCTTCATCCTGAGAGGCTGTGGAGCTCCGTTCGAGTGTGGAACTCCTTCCTGGTCTGCACTGCCAAGCTGGTGGGATCCCCAGGCTTTTTGTTTGTTTCTTTTATTTTTCTTTTCTCGAGATGGAAGCCCGTTCTGGACTGATGGTGCTGTGTGGCTTGGGACCTACCCCCTCAGCTTGCGCAGAAATGCAGAGGGATCCCTGAGAGCATTTCTTTTTCTTTTTTTTTTTTGAGTTTTCTTATTCTTTTTTTTAATTTGTTTTCTTTTCCTTCTTTATCCCTTTTTGCCTTTCTTCATTACTCAGTTTCTAGTCTCTCTATACCTTCCTTCTCTTCCTGTCCCCTGGATACCTGGCGCTGAATACCTCTATGCCTCCTAGCCAGGCTGTACTTCAAAAACTGGGAACAACTTCCCCAGACCTCGTAGCCGCACTGGTGGGATCCCTGGGAGCTTTGCTGGTCTTTTTTCTTTCTAATTTTTATTTATTCATTCTTTTCTTTTTTTCTTCTTCTTCCCCTTTTTCTTTTTCTCCATTTCATAGTCTCTCATCTCTCCACTCCAACGACAAGCTCCCCTAGCATTCTTTTTTGTTTGTTTGTATGTTTTCGGCTCCTGTTCCTCTCTCCTCTCTCCCATACCCATCTAAGCTCCACACATCACAATCTTCCCCCTCCATCCTGCCTACCTGCACCGAGCGCTTAACATCACACCACGAAGCAGCACAGGCACGGCCTACTGGAACCTGCCCTGCACTGATTACCCACCCGCCCTGGTTGCTGTAGTAAGTGCCACAAACAACCGATCCCAGCAACTCCTCTTCAGCTAGACCTGCCCTGCTGTACCACATCTGAGCGACTGACACTGCCAATCGGAAAAGGAGTCAAAAAGAGGAGCAAACAACAAAGTACATACAGCCCGCCTGCTCAAACATACCAAATAAAACAGGGCAAAACAAACAAATCTACAATCAATAAACGAGAAAAGTAACTCCTGAATGCCCCAAAGACAGCACACAATATCAAAATATTTACAAAAACAGGACAGGACGGTTCCAGTAGGCCTCCAAAATAAAACACCAGATGACTTTCCAGTAGAAGAAAAGGCTCTAGAACTACCTGATAGGGAATTCAAATCTCTAATCCAAGACTTGAAGCAAAAAGCAGACAAAAAGGAGGAAAAAAAATAGACAAATTCATGCAAAAGGCAGACAAATTCATGGAAAGTACAGACAAAAAAATGGAATAATTCAGGAAACTAATGCAGGAACAAAATACCAAAATAAATTCACAACTAGAAATTATACAAA